GGAGACCCCATGGCTATAAACAACTCACCGATAGTCGGTTAAAGAAATGCAGACCTAGATCTGACAAACTGGCTTTAGGAGTAACAAAGAGAACAAAAGAATAGTATGTAGTATATGTAAAAGGCACCATGTATGGAATATTTGGAGGTAATGTGGAGCTGCAGGTTGATAAAGAAAGAGCAAAGGTGTAAAAGTGTATTAGCAAATATAAAAATGACTCCAAGTGTATCCTGAGGTGAGGAAGAAGAAAGCATTAACATGAACATCATATTGTTCCTGGTGAAGGGACTCCAGATGCTGACAGCTCACCATAACACCCCCGAACCACCAGAATGAAACTACCAGCCTTGGGATGCAGAAGAGCAATGGAAGCGTGAGCATCGGGAAAAGCGTAGAAACTCAATGTGTGAATAACAGTTCAAACTGTTTTATCACTATTATTGAGGCTTTCTCTGTATAGAAGTATTCTAACTATTATTATTTTTCGGTAGCAATTATATCTGGATTAATAATGATTAGACTCTTAAGATTTGAATTACGCTAACAAAAAAATCCTTGGCTTTATATAAGGTGTGCTTACTTTTTGCCTATAAACAAGATTTGGAGTGTAACAACTGGTGGATAGTGCGGGCAGCCCTCCTGTGAACCTTTAGGGCATTTTGGAGGACAGCTCTCTGTAAGCCCTTACGGCACTGTAAGAGTCGGTCCTTCTGAAGTCCTTACAGCAATCTGGGGCTGTCCTTTTGTATTCAGCATACAATAATCAAAGAAGATGAGGGAATAGAGTTAATATGTGTTCCTATGGTCCTGGTAAGTATCGCACTTAAATAAAAAAATTTATTTATGGGCAACGTTCGCAGATCTTTTTAAGGCTGTAAGGCATGTTTCCTGTTTGCCCATGGAGGGGATTTTGAGTGTGACACCCCGTTCTAGCCTTTTCTTGATCTTGCTGTAGTCATCAAGTATACAAATACCCTCTTACCTCAGTTTTAAAATTACTGTGCACTGGTTTGCAAATGTGATATGGCAATGGATGAATAATATCAACTCGGTATCAAAAGGTTCATTTCATAGCATTCCATATGCGCTGTATATATTCCTTTTTTTATTTTCATCCAACGTAGTAGTAAACATTTAGTCCACCTGGGAATGTGGCATCCATCACTTCACTGTGAAGATAATTTAATAAAATTAACCAGGAAATAGTTCCACCATCTAGTCATACTGTTTTTAACATAAAAATACCTTCTACATAATGTCTGTATATGTGAAACTGCTAAATATTTTAAGTTTCGTATTCCAAATTCACTATAAACATTTTGGCAGCCGTTTCAAAAATTGCTGCACCACTGGGTTGTTTATAGTAGACAGAAAAACTGGGTTAAAAAAACACTGGTCAGGAAATTCTTCTGCTAACTCTCCATCTTAAAGCCATACTCTTTTGCCAATGTTACATCTGTGATATGAACCTAAGCTGGTGCCTTAAGGAGAGTAGATGAACAAACATTTGCTTTAACTGTTTTTCTGTAAGATGTCAACGTGCATTTGTAAAATTATTTATTTTACATAATGCACATGGGTGTCACAATTTACAGTCTGTGAGATCAAGAAGTTAATGATGCAGGCTTCACTGAATATCTTCAATGCATTTCCTTCATTTAAAATAAGATCCTTTTTCTCCCTCATGTCTTAATCCAAACCAAATAGTGATCATGATGAGCTGTGCTGAAAAAGCCCTCTTCCATCAGCATTTGGACTTGCCCATTTCCAGCTATATGGAACAACAGTCTTTTTTTAATGCGTGTTATTAGGAATGTGGAAAAGTTCAGCTAAGTCATACTCCAAAATCGTTTAAAAAATAAATAAATAAAGACTCTGCAGAATTTACTCTTTCCTTTTTGGAGTTATGCGCTGGAATTACTCCAGGTGCAAAGTTGTAGAATTTCCCACATATCTGAATTTAACAACTACAGTTCAACTAAAGGCCTTCTTGAGCAGCTTCTAGAAATATTAAGGGGATCAAGAAGAATGTGTTTAAAGTACTTACTAGGATAAGCAAGTCTGTTTCCTCTGTTGTGATTTTCCTATTTCTTTGGTCAGGATAAAGATGTAAAATATTGCAGATTTCTGTATCAGATTTTAACGTGAGTGAAATACAGGAATACTGAAAGTTGACAATGAACTCTAGTTCTACTTTTTTAGTTCTAACTTCTGACTTGTACGAACAGTTAAAGTTCCTATGAAATTTTAACCAAATTGCAGTAAGACATTTTATGTGGAGAGAGTTCTCTGCAGATTTTTTCTATTTTTGGATAACTGCTTGTCTGGCTTCACCTCATGCCTCAAGTGAAGCCATTCCTGCTTGCTGACAAACTGAAGTTTGCAAATGAAACTTGCAGTGTTGGGATCATATTTTAATTTAACTGTTTCTCTTTGCATAAGTCAATTTTCTGTCTTATCCTTCATTTGAAGCTGTAGAGTTTTATAACTTCATCTCTAGAAGAAGAGTTACCTTGAATTGTAGAAATTCACCTGGATTTTGAAAGTGTAACTATTAAGTGTCATTTGCAATAAACAGGTTGTTAAGATAAAATGTAAGCTACCATCTGTATACACTACAGAATGTAGTCTCAGCAGTTCTTGTGATCCAAGACAATGGTGAGGAATACTGCTGCTGGGAGATATGGAGCTTTCTGAGGGAAATGTACTTCCAAAGTAGAAGCAGTAATTGCTTATGTTGTTCACTGGCATTTTGATTTCTGACCTTGGAGAACATTAATCCAGAGTGCTACATACATTAGCAAAAGCAGTGGATCCTTTTGCATATTTTGTCTCTCTTCTTGCTTTTGGCTTTTCATATGCTCCACCGCTTTCTTTCTTGAGCTTAACATTGGTAGTACTGGAGGTGTAGTGTTGAAGACAGGAAGATTAGATGTTACACAACTTCTAGTTTCCCCTTATGATATGGGGAGGAGTTTTAAGGTGCACTCATAATGATGGCAGGAATGCAAGTACGTAGTCTTCGTGATTTAAGGTTTGAATAGCTGCATGGAATCTGTTTACAGTGCATTGCCACTTTAAACAAAATAGTATCTATTTTGTCTTCAGTTTCTATTAATGAAATGTTATAATTTGTCCATAAAACTAGGAAATCTCAGTTATTAGTTTCAGTATGTTTTGACAACCATGCATGTATGAATTTTCAAAATAGTGAAAGTTCCTTATGTCTCTCTCTGCTACGCTTCGGCTTCCAAGTGGATTAGAGTGGATATTTCTGTAAAAGTGTGTACTTGGGAATTAGTTGGCAGTTTTCCTATTTTTTACTATTGTGCAATTACAGCCTTTAGAATTTCTGAAATAAAAAGTACCTATTTCAAACTATTTTTCTGTTTGTTTTCACAGGTGATCAGTCAGCACTTTGAAGGGATACTAGGGAGGGTCATGTTGAATATCTGAGTTTGAACTTTTCCCCTGAAAAGCAAAGGGAAGAATAATTAAAATAGCTTGAGTTAAGGAGTAGCTCTGTTAAATAGCAGCTTTGCTCCATTAAGCAAGAAGATCTATGAAGCAACTGCAAGTGATTAAAGTTACGGGAATCACAGGTGATCAGTCAGCACTTTGAAGGGATACTAGGGAGGGTCATGTTGAATATCTGAGTTTGAACTTTTCCCCTGAAAAGCAAAGGGAAGAATAATTAAAATAGCTTGAGTTAAGGAGTAGCTCTGTTAAATAGCAGCTTTGCTCCATTAAGCAAGAAGATCTATGAAGCAACTGCAAGTGATTAAAGTTACGGGAAGGTATCTTATTGTGATGAGAGAAACAAAGAACATATGGCTAAACATTACTACCTTTCTTTCCACTAATGCTGGCTAGGAGTGGGACCCTACTTAGTGTACTAGTGACCTGTCCAATCACATTTCTAACACACAGAGAACTTTAAAGATGGGAAGCTACCAGTTGTAGTGATCCTTGCATGGCAGGCTTTAGAAGTTCAACTTGCAGAGTATTACTTTTACAGTATTACTGTATTTAGAATAGAATGTTTCCACAGATGGGGCATCTACCACCTCTCTGGGCAACCTGTTCCAGTGTTTCACCACTGTCATTGTAAAAAATTTCTTCCTTATATCTAGTCTGAATCTACCCTCTTTTAGTTTAAAACCATTATTTAAATATGACTTGCCTACCTAGGCACTGTGCCAATAAATTTACTGGGTATATTTCACTCAAGGAGCTAGTTTAAGTTTGTCAGTAAAAGTTGATGATTTTGTCAGCAGGAATAAAAATTCCACATAGCTTCATCAAGCTTGTGCCTACTGAAGGAAAGCTTTGTGATGATGGTTGTTTTTGACTAGAGCCTGCTTTGCTTTCCAGCCAGTAGAAGGACACGTTTAACATATTTGATATTAACAACTGATTCTGTCAGTCATAGTTTCACATTACACTTCAATCCCATTTTGTGGTACTAATCTGATTGTCTTTCAGGAAGCTTCTCAACAACTAGAAGTTGATACTAACTGTTACATATTTATAGGTAAAAGCTGTAGTTCCTTTGTGTTATTTCTGAATAACAACTTTTAAACTGTTACTATTTCCCCGACAGCTCGTGAAAGGCACACACAGAGAGTGTTTTCAGTTCACCTTCCTATTGATCTGCCCACTGTGATACATTTACATGGTAATGTAAAGACTGTGGTGAAAGTCACATTGGTGACAAGAACTGGTTGAGTCTGCATGTTAATTCATGTATAACAAAGAATCAAATCTCTGCTTGAGGCTAAAAAATAAAAAGATTATGGTGTGTCTCTTCTTCACCACCCACTGTCCCATTTACGTTCAGACAAACCATAAAAATCCAGCTGTGCTGAACTTTATAGCATTTCATTTATGGACAAGCAAGCTTTTGTACTAAAATTGCAAATGGATAAGTAAGTAACTAATATTTTGGTAAATGTAATTAGAAAACATAGGGATCATCTACTTTTGCTTCTTAAATACAGAGCCTTTGAAGAAAGACGGAAGCAAGAAGAAGAAAAAGAACAAAGGTTTAGAGAACGAGTTCTGCAGCAGAGGAAAATTAAACTTCAGGAAGCAACTGATAAGTTCCAGCGTGCTCATCTGCCTTTTTCTCAGCACAAGCAAATAGGTTTGTAAATTAAAATTTAATCATTATTCACAATACAAGTGTTTTTCTATTAGTAGAATATAATTGAGGCAAACAGTGTCATGCACCGTATAGTACCAAAAGAAGGGGGGGGAAAATGACCACTACTCAGACTCCACAGTCAGGCGGGTGCTATATGGTGACAGTTTATTGAGAGCAGAATCCTTTAAGCAAGCATACAGGTTCACGAAATAGTAACACATAACACGACACAATTACATACACAGGGAGGGTAATACGACCTGTCGATAAGGATCAAGCCAGTGGTCACAGACGGTTCGGGGATCTCAGTCCAGCTGAGAGGGAGCTCCGAAGAGCCTCCTCCAGTCCGCATCCTTTATGCTTTGTTGCCACGTGGTCTCGGTAGATAAGCCCTTGGTTGGGTCTTATCTTTTACTCAAATGCGCCACTAAACTAAGTGCTCAGTATCACAAGTTGGTTTTACTTTTAACTTTATGCGGGCGAGCTTCTCCTTTTACTTCCCTGCCTTAGGTTTTCTCTCTCAGTGGGTTCAAATATGTTTCAGAGCCTGGGTCTTTAGGCCCTTGACATAAGTTTAGGCCTCAGAACTGCGAGAGGTGTGGCAGAGGCAGACTTACCAAGGATGACAGTGTCCAAACAGGCGAGAGCTATGGGGCTTTCGCTCCATCATGTCCCCCGTTTCTGCACAGTCATTGCTCCCTTGTGTCCAGCTACATGGGGGCATGGGCATCACAAACAGAACAATTAACTTCACTCAAATGAATTGAATTCATATAAGCAAAACTTAACTGACAAGAAGTTCAGATCTGATACATATGACAAAATTGGGTAGAGGGAATTAAAAAAAACATTTTTTTTTCTAAAAATTGTATTGTGAGATATTTCATTATATTCCGGTCACAGTAAGTACATCACCTCCTTGGGATATTGTGGCTTCCTGGGTTTTCCCCACTTTTTTCACTGCTGTGTGCTTATTGCTTACAATACTGTGCTTTCACAGCTGGGGGTGAGGTGTTACAAGGCCACTGAAAGTTGCTAGGATAACATGATCCGCTATTTGAATCCTTGAATATGAAATATTCAAGAATGTTCATTTTGTTTGTCATTAAGTAAAAGCAGTCCTAGCATATATTAATGTATTACATAATTTTTGCTGAATTAGTCAGCTTTTTAAGCTGTTCTCTAGCTGCTGAGAAGTAATGATCACTTCAACTCCGTTCCTGCTTTCTTGGAATCAGTGCAGATTGGCAGGAGCTTAACAGCATCAGCCAAGTCTGATTTCCAGTCAACTTTCCAGTGTTGAAACTCTTAAGATATGGTATATTACTTAGGTATTCTTTAACAGATTTACTCTCCCAACTGCAGTTGCGCCAACTGTGAGGTAATGTCTCTGACTTCAAGATCAAATGTCAGATTAAAATAACAAAATAGAACAGTACTGTTTTAGGGCTTCTTCATGGCTCTACTGACAGCCCAGACTGTGTAGCAGTATAATGAATCACAATTTTTTTTCTTGGGTTTTCCTTTATAGCAATTCTGCCTCTGCCAGTTTCTACCCTACTTTACTTACTTGAAAGAGGCAATACCTTGTGCCTGTCTGGGCTCTTTCTTTCTCTGCTGATTCAATTATTAAGTTACAATTTGGCCTCTATAAAATATCTGCAAGCCATAACTTTGTCTTAGTGCATGAGCAGAATAATCATGATGTAAATACAAAGTTACTGCTGGATTTTTTAACCTCCTGTTTTTTCAGCAGTGCAGTCTAAAAACATAAAGCAAAACTATTGAATACGTGTTACTGTAAAGACTTAAATAGACTAGGGTTTTGTTTCAGAGGAACTAGAGATGCTCCAGCATGTCTAATGATGCTAAACCACTCAGTTTATTTTAACAGTCTGGATTTAGGCTTCCAAACTTCAGAAACTTAACCAAACCATATATGGTAAAATATTCCAATTTTTAAAATATTTTTTTCCATTGTGTTTTTTACTCTAATCCTTCTAGTCCAGACAAAAGCAGCTTTTCAGTTAGAAGAAGCTCTTGAACAAATTAAAGGATCAGTTTTAACACCAGGACTGTGCTTGCCCAGCAGAAACAAAACCAACTTCAGGTAAGCATTTCTGTTTACTCTGATGATCAAAGGAAGTAAATTGCTTAGTGTTTTCAATAAACAGCAGACAATTACTCTTTAAGAAATTGTAGGCCATTTCTCTCGTGGCAAAGAAAGCATTTCTGTGAACTGTTCCAATGAAACATTATGAAACATCCTTGAGTTGGTTGTGTCCATTTGGTAAAACAGCAGAGGAGATGACACAAACCTTTTCCCTTCAGCAGAATTCTGGGAGTAGTTGGTGCTAATCCGGTCCCCATCCAGTTATAGCCTGACTCAGATTGCCATGGTTATCAAACCATCTGCTGTTCTATGAATAATAAAGTATTCTGTCTAGATGATTTCTTATTCTCATGCAGATTTTTTCCTTTTGACATTCAAGGATAGTTTAGTCTGTATATTCATCCCATGATCTTATCTTCTTTCCAGCTGTCATTCCTTTAAATTTCTCATCCTCTATATGTATCTTGAGCATCCTGATAACAATTTCACCTGCATTTTCATTTGATATCACATACAATTTGAATTGCATACTTTTCACTCTACCCAAGCACTTTTTCTAAGATACCTTGACTTATCACGAATGTTTCTTCATGCATAGTTTATCTATATGCTGTATTTGATACTCCTTCCTGATTATCCCCTTCCTAATCTCTCATTTCTTTAATGTTTCAGTTCAGGGTTTTATTTTCGTTGTTGCTGCTTTTGTTATTACTATTATTATAATTATTTTCTGCATGCTGTAAATTGTGCAGATGTCCAGAATAGAGATAAATTCTGTCTAAAAGGGGTCTCCCTACTTTTGAGCTTCAGTGTGTTCTTCATTGTGATGTTAATATTCAGTTTGATTACATATCTATTGCTGATTAATACATGTTTGCAGGCGATAAACTGGGCAATTAAGAAAACATTTCATACCTCTTAGAGCTAAATACTCATACTATCTGCCAGTCAACACACATACAGTTCTGCAGCTACTACACTGGATTGACATAATAAAGGACGATTCCAGCCATAAAAACAAAACAAAACAAACAAAAAATCTACCTGCTAAATATAAGTTGAAAATATGGCAAAAAAATGTAGATGTTTCTAAACCCTGTCTCAGGGTTCCTGATCGTTTGTCTCGTTTCACTCATAGGCTCAATTAAGGACAGCAGCTCAGTGCCTCTTCCCCATGCCTTTATCATTTCTTTCTTTATTTTTCATCTTTCTTCAAACTGCTCCTTGTGCCCTAGGGGCTCACATTTTTCTCTCAGGACCTCTTCAAATCACTTACCATTTCTTACAGTATAACATTGCTGTCACTCCATATTATATTTGGATAATTTTAAAAATTCACTATCCTGTAATAATGATAGTGTGTTCTTTTCCCGATTTTCATTTTTATAACCTGATTTCCTAACAGAATTAAATTTATACGTTCATATTCTTTTACAGTTTGTGTTCCCCTAGTAACCAAGTTTGAGAGAGCGCTAAGAATCTCAAAGATAATTATATTTCTACAAGTTTGAAATTCGCAATTGGGCAAGGAAGAAGTTATTCAAACAAGTGACCCCAGCATGAAAAAGGTTTAAAAGTTGAGTCCACATTGACCTATTGGCAGGTCACAAGCCAGTTAGTACGGATAAGACAGCATACAAATATCTTGGAACCTGCCACAGAATGTGCTGCTTCTTCCCCAGCTGGTAACTAGGAGGCCTGAGTAGGAGCCATATGGGGTGGGTGAGGGAGGATGTAGAGACAATTGGCAGTGTGGTAATAAGGGAAAAAGAATTAAGTTATTAGAATCATAGAATAGTTTGGGTTGGAAGGGACCTCTAAAGGTCATCTAGTCCTACCCCCCTGCCATGGGCAGGGACATCTCAACTAGATTCAGGTTGCTCAGAGCCCCGTCCAACCTGACCTTGAATGTTTCCAGGGATGGGGCATCCACCACCTCTCTGGGAAACCTGTGCCAGTGTTTCACCACCCTCAGCGCAAAAAATTTCTTCCTTATATCTAGTCTAAATCTCCCCCCCTTTAGTTTAAAGCCATTAATTGTAGTACAGGCTTCTGTATAGGGGCAAAGTATACAAATTAATATGAAATAAAGCTTTGCTTATTCTAATGCTAACAATTTGTCTTCCTTCCTTGTGACAGAAAATATTCTATGCATTTTTGTCTGCATCTCACACAATCCCTTACTAAGCACTGAGATTCAAACTGAACATGTGTTATGCAGCATGGTCTGCTGCTGAAGATGATAGTGCAGGGTTGTTCCCTTTAGTTTTGGTCTCGGAGCCATAGTTTGTGTGGGTCATAAAAGTGGCATTTCTGTGTTTTCAGCCTTAGTTCCAAAAATTGTGCAAAATTCTCTTAGAGGGCAAATAAATTTCTTGCAAATCAGTACAGCAAAGTAAGCTTTGGTACAGAAAAGCATTTTGAGAAAGTTCTCAAAGGTGAAGGTTCTTCAAAACGCACCAGTTCTGAGCTGTAAAGCTTTAAAAATGTTTTATAATCCCTTTAATTGGAAATTTTGGGACAGCTAATAACTAACTCAGATAAGGTAGTAGATCCCTTTCTGTATTTCTATCTCTTCTTACACTTCTATAAACACTCAAACCAAAAATCTCGTATCATCTTTAGAATTTTCCCTTCCTCATAAATAGAATGTATAGAATTCGTTGACAGTCCCCTTTTAAAGGAAGAAATGAATACTGCATTAAGTATTCAAGATAAGTATGGCTGCAGACCCAACTGGATATAGGTGAATTTTATAAGGTTCTAGAATTCTCAATGTCTATGTTTAAAAAGTTGTAAAAAATTGAATTAAGCAATGGAGACATATTACCTCCTCTTGGAGAAAAGCAAAAAATCCTGGAACACCTAATGATTGAAAGATTGTAGTCTGTGCTTGCAGTAGAGCTACTCTGCTTCTAGTAAGGTTTAGTTATTAAATGCTGAAGCAAAGATTTTGGTCAATTCATTAGCCACCAGGGATTGGGATGTGCGCACATGAGGGATGTAAATGGTGTGCTGCTCTTTGTACAAGATATATTTCCCTGTTTGTGTTTAAAAAGTTGTATTTGATTAGGTTCAGTCTTGGGATAGAAACTTGATTATGACAAATCAAAAATGTTCTCTGGAAAAAGTTGGAATGTAGAAACTTTTATGAATGTAAATGGTCTAAACATCCAAATATATATCAAGAAACTTCCCCCCCAAAAAAAAAAACCCAAAAAACCCATAGATTTTTTGGGGGCCAGGTGTATATCAGTCTGGTCCACAGTAACAAAGTCTTTAAAAGTGGATAGGTACAAAAAGTTTTTGGATAGGGAGGAATGATTCCCATTCAAAAGGATACAGAATGCAGTTTTCTGAGTTCTATAAATAAATATGAGAAGTTGTTCTCCCTTTTTGCTATCAGCCATCTCATCAGAAATAATAAATTCTTTTTTAGACTCTGCCAAATATATATCTCTGCTTAGGTCAGTGCAATTAAGCCAACCTTTTTGGAATATTGTATAAAATCTTCTGAAAAATAACAATAATCTTGATGGGATGAAAGTTTTCCGTTGTCCTAAAATTGTAAGTGTTATAATAAATACAGAAAAGGTCTCATTAGACTATTTACCCATTTGACACAGATGTACTAAAAAGAAAAGGGATTGATTTTAACAGGAAGTATAATTTCAGATACAGAAAGAGGATGAAACAGATGAAGGCTCAGAACAAGGAACTGTGGAAACTTAAACTGAAGAAATGGAGAGAAATTAAGGAAAGGGGTTATTGAGTTTCTGTACATATATTAGACATATGGTAGCCATCTCCAGCTAGGAGCAATACATGTTTCTTAATAATGCATCTCTGCTGGATAAGCAGCAGAGGAGGATGAGGTCTGTGTACGTATTGTGTGACTACACTGTTCAAATTTGCTCAATGGGGTGCCAGCTGTTAAGGAAGATAGCTTTGTGTGGCATGAAGTAGTCATATCTTCTTACAAGTTCCTACACTGCATATTGCCCATATCTGAAAGGAACCATCATCTTCACCATCACCTTCACTGAAAATGAGGAAGGGTAAAATGTGAGTGGTGGTTCATCTTGTCAGGCCAGATTCTAATTATTTAAAAAAAGAGGGAAATATGTGGAAGCATGATTTTCATATTTAGTTGCATATAGACTAAAAGTTCACTTTTCCCACAAATTTCACTAAACACCTTCACCCAATTTAGTAATATTTAAGGGATTGTGTTGATGCCACTAAGGAACTATATATCAGAAATGCATCCTGGGAATGTTGGAAAGTATCTGCATATTGAATGGACAATAAGGTTTGGTTTGTTACTCAAAATCCAAGGATTGCTGAGACAAAGTATCATTTCAAATATTGGACCTGATCAACCTGGTAAAATAAAAGCTGGATCTCCCCTTTTTAGTAACGGTATACATGTTTTACAAATAACTTCACTGAAAGTTTATACTGATAATCTGTTTCCAAGGTCTATTCTCCTTCTACCACCATTTGTAATCATTGTGGAGTACAACAAATACTTGATCCTAAAATAGTGAGACATAAGCTTGGCTTTCTAATCAATTGTAAGGGTTATGGCTCTACTGAACAGATGTGAGAACTTAAAGCATGGATCTGGTGAGAGATTTCTGTAAGTGCCACTTTGAATATGCCAGACTAAGGGCATTTAGGGCCCTGGAACCAAAAGGCAGGATCAGTGTCCTTCACTAAACTGTTCTACCTAGGCAGTGAAGCATAGCTGGCAACCGGGTAATAGTTATATTTCCAGAAGACTAAAGCTTGATTGACCTATGAGCTGGTGGGTTTTGGGGTGTGGGTTATTTTGGTTTTTGTTTAATGCCTACCTTTCTTGTTGGTTAAAGCTACTTGTTTCTTGTTTTTGTCATCCTTGATATCTACCTAGTTCTTGCTTCTTGTTTTCCGAAGCTTGGTTCCTATTCCTAGTGATCTTACCCAGCCTTGTTCCAGTTCTATCTGCTTTTTATTCTTGAACATATCTTGTTACGCAGTCCCTGCCTTCCTGGTCTCTGATTGCACATTTTCCTTGTCATGTGGCTTCACATGCTTCTTGGCTTCTTTGATTCCTGGGCGTCAACCAGCCTCATGGTTCTTGCTAATCGTCATCCTGTAGAAACCTGTGGTTTCCTCTATCTTAATTTGGGCTCACCGTGACCACAATACCCAGCTACAATAGCTACTCCAAAGTTTTTTTTCTCAGGTAGCAAATACAAATTCTTTAATGTACCACATTACTGCCATTACACATCATCAGTAGAATTGGGCTCTCTAGATACTACAAAGCCTTCCTGCTATTTGAAGTAAGGGAATATCTCACAGCATCAGTATATAGTTATCCTCTATAGAAGCCAACCTTATGGACAAATAAAGGCCATTTTGCTTGTTTTTTTAAAAAAAAACCCTCCGTGTTCTATTTCTGTAAATGACCAAACTGTTGGCTGACATTTTCCAGAATAATTCAGCCTGAGGCAGTCACCCAACAACGCAATCACAAAAGTCTGACTATTTATAAATAACAGAAGAGAAGGTTTAAAATGGAAAGTGTTGGACAGTTTTAGATAGTACTAACAGTACCACCTGTAGTTACATATAGTATAGCTGTCCTTCACTTGCCAGGCATTTATTGATGATGTATACTTTTGGAAAGGAATATGTTTAAAAGTGTACAGTTGACGCATAGAAATAAGCCAAAGTAATAAGTTATTTGCTTGCATCAAGAACCACAGATGACACTTCATCCTCATCAGCATCTAGAAATGGTTCTTTCCATCAGAAGCAGATTTCAGCAATGGTTGGCTGGGATGAAACAATACAAGAGAGCAGTAGAACAAATGTGGATAGTAAGCAACTTCTCTTCCAGAAAAATCTGAAAGAAATGCAACAACTCCTTGAAAAACAGCATCTCAGCAACTTGGAGGTATGATATTTTCATGTGATTCATTAAATGATGCTTCTTAAATGTAATAGAAAGTTTCTTGAATGTGATAAAAATGAAAGGTCTGTTAAGCACACTTTACCAAGTAGACAACTGAGGGCAGACTGCATTGTGCCTTACCAATAGATTATTTAAAGTAAAATTATACATATTTTTCAGTAAGAAATCAGAAATCTTTAAAAAAGTTTGTAAGAATAGTTTCACAAATTCTTCAAAGATATCTGTTGTGTTGTCTTTCTTTCTGTGAACGTAAGATTTGTGTCTCGGAATTCTTGGCTCTGAAGTTGCTAGCCATTAGTCTATCACAAACTAGCTCGCTCCAAACTTAAATTAGCGGCTTGCAATTTGCAGTTAAGTTTCTGCTTTGCTGATTGCTACAGCTCAGCACAAAATGCTATAGCAGTATAATTATGATAGGTCAAATGTTGGGATTTTTTTGTTTCTTGTTTTTTTTCCCAAATGTGTGGTGATTTCTTGGGGATTGACTTCAAGTCTCTTGAGATCCTTTTTTGTTATCTTTGGAATAGATGCAGGTGTTCCAGTAACAAGCCCATTAACTTTCTGTCTAAACTAATTTTTGGACCCAAAATCAGTTTCAAAAGTCATCTTAGAAACACAGTGAAAATCAAGAAGAACTGAGCTCCAAAGTGATTTCTTATAACTATTTTTAAGTGTGATTTTAGGTCTGTCACTCTTGTCTTTGATTTTAGAAACATTGTCTTCAATATTACATCTTTTGGAAACAAGAGGACATAATTCTGGATTCATTTTTTTATTTTATGATATCTACTGGTATCTGGACTCGTGGTGTCTAAAATGACCTTGACACTATGAAGCACCATCCCTTTATATTGGTGATGGCTAGAGGCATGGGATCATTGGTGGCAGCAGAGCAAGGGCTTTTCCTTTTAATACATCTGTATGGATAACTTTTGAAAGACTGTATACAGTTCAGATATATTTTGAGTTCTTTGATATCGATGTTTTCAGGCACATTCATCTCTGTCTTAGTACCTCCTTTGTTCTGATGGGTATTCATGAGAATCTTGAGCAGCTGATGACTAACACAGAAAAATCTCACTCAACTGGAGTAAATTTCAAAAAGGTTGAGGAGATAGAAAGTACAGTTTGTACTGGCAAGGTTGTTGATTAGTGTTCAGTCTTATTTCCAAGCATAAAAGAAGGAAGAGCAAATGGCAATTTATAGAAGACAGCTGATAAAACCAATTTCTAGATAACCACTTTCAAAAAAAATACAAAAAGGTCTAAGCTTTTTTTTTTTAATACCATGTTGTGCTTTTCATTGGTATAATGTTTGCAAATCCCTCCTTAAATGATGATGCTGAATTTTGCAGTAGCTGCATTAGGACATCTTAGAATTAGGAAAATAATGCAATCTTTTTGAGAAAAATGTATAAAAAGATTCTTCTTAATATATTGTAAGACATCTATGTTCTAGTGTATTTTATCAAACACAATTATCACATTCTAATTGAATTCTAGGGAAAAACTGCTGAGTCATGCATGATTTTTTTTTTATAGTTTTTTCTAAATGTTCTCATCAGCTTTGGACACTGCATATAATACAGGAATTTGTGTTTACAAATTAATGTATTTTTGAAAATGCTTTGGTCCTGTAAAAAATTTTGCTTTTTTTTCCAGAATGTATTTTTCTGCTACCACTAGGGGTTGCTCAGCTTCTTCCCTCTGATAAATAGTTTCAAATTATAAATATTTATACTTCAAACATTTGGACTTTCTTTCTTGAAATTACATGCTTTGGACTCTGATTAGAAAAATAATCAAGAAAGCTATTGTCATTGTTCTAAAGCCTGAGTTTTGGAAGATTAATACTTGGATTGTGCTGCTGTGCATGTGTATTGTGATTTCCTGTGATGTGAAGTAGTATTTATAATACTAATAAAATTTATAATTTATAATTATTTAAAATACTGTTACTGACATGAATAGGCTTCAGTATTCTTGTTACTGTCTGTTGTCCAAAGTCATTTCAACAGTGCTTGCCTTTCTGAAACTAATGTCAAAGTATTTCACTGTGCACATGCTTTGCAGTCTAACCATCCATTGAGATCCCTTGACCTCTCTTTGTTTCTGTTTTTACAGGCCCAGCAGGATTATAAAGATTCCTAAAATTCTTTTCTTTGCTATGGGGTAATAAAGTTCTATGTAGGCCCTTACCGGTAGATACGGTGTGTTCCCTGCTTTCCATCCCTAAAAATTTGTATAGTTTCAGCAGTAAGCCAAGGTTTTTAGTGACCCTTCTACCATTCTCCAAAATTATTTTGCATAAAGTATTGAGAGCAGTAGATTTTATTTTGTGCAACAGTTACATCTAAGCCAGTACATCAAATTATTATTTGTTATGTGTCCATAAGTATGTTCCATTTTGAAGAAATTCATATTGTTAACTTCATTCGCAATCAAAGGTTTTGTTGCACAGTCCTTTCCTGGTTTTGTTGCATGCATAAATAAAATCTTTAAGGTGGAGCTGGTAGCATGGTCTTTAGCTAAAGCTGCATGCAGCTTTTCACCAAAAGACATTACTCTCAAGTGTTTATCATTTTTCCAAATGTTAACTGTTTATGATGAAATTTTCCATTCTGGCACCTGCCTTGAACTGAATAATTTAGAAAACTTCCATTAAAATGGTTCAACTGTGACACAGAATAGTATTACTCATATATCTTTTTTTCTTTTCACCACTTCTTTAATTTGGTGGCCATACAAAATTGTTTTTGTCAGTGCGATATTTTTATGCTATTCCAGAAAAATACATTATGCTTAAATTAAACTGTTTGATTGATGTAACATTTTATTGTTTCACTTTTTAAACAAAATACTTGGAAGCAAGAGCTAATTCACAGACAAAACAGGTATAGATTACAACATGGAGACTGTAGTTTCCTCTTCCCTCATTTATATGACCTTAATTAGGTTATTCAAGTGGTATCTGTGAAATCCAAATTTAAATCCCTTTCCGATTTATTTGAAGCAGGAATTTTACCTTGGTTCTCCTTTTTTTCCAAGCATATTGTGCAGCCATTGAAGTACTCAGTATCAGTCTTTCTATGGATACTGTTCCCCTTGGCAAAAAAATGCTTCAATATTTATTGAAACAGGGACTGGAACACAGGTAGCATTTCTCAGAAATTGCAACCCAAACCATGAGGTCAGAGAGTTATTATATTATCTCAAATACAATACAATTTTGTATCCTATTATACTGTGTGTAAGTTTATATATGTTACATATAGAATTAAGTCACTGAGAAATAATGAATAATATTTTCTAAGTGATGTTTCACTGAATGAAAGCAGGAGATGCTGCAAATACATAGACATGGACATAGCCTTACTTTCATGAGTGAGTTGACCTGTATGACTGTTAGCTGATTGTGTTACTATGCTTTTGAGGTTGGACTGTGTCTATGAAATGAAGATGTTTCAGGTAACTGATGGAAAAACTGAATTCATTTTCAAGTGCATTTGTAGTATGACTGGAATGAGTTAAACAAGGGTTCTTTCTGCAAGGTGTATTGTATCAGTCTAACTCTTCAGAGGCATAGACAAGACCAGTATGGAAAAAAGGAGTGCCCGTGTACAGTCTCTCCTGAGTGTCAAGAACGTGTAGAATGCTCAGGGCTAGTTAGTGGGAAAACAGACTCTTAAGGGGAGGGTTAGGATGAAATGGCATTGGAACTGAAGTCAGATCTGATTTTGAAGAGACCATTCAAAGACTTGAAATAGGTTTCTACGGTCACCTTAAATCTAGAAACGTTGGCCATTTTTTATGTATAACGGTGAACATTAACAGCTTTTATGTTGATCGCTTAAATTATATGACAAACTTGAGTGATTTCCCTTCTCATTTTCCTTTTGGCAAGATCAGGGGGGGTCAGTTTTTACTGGCTTTCAACCAATATTGCAACATACCACTATCCTCCATGTTATTTCACCAATCCAAAATTCACATTTGCTATAAAGGCAAATTGAAATGTATCGCCAGACTAAATTATTTTACCCAAATACTTGAACTTGTTTTGATTGTGTATTCCTCAAGAGTAGGGTTTTTTTATGTAAAATAGTGGTTTATTCCAAGCCTGTGCTGTATAAAATAGCATTACAATCTTCATATCTGGCAATCTGGATGTTCGGTCATTTGAAGAGTGTCTTGCCTCAATTCAAACCCCTACTTGAACAGGTGATAATGTAGGATTGAAGCTGAAACAGCATTTTCAGTACAAAATAGTTTGTTTCACAGGTAGATTAATACGTCAATAAGACTTTGCTTGTGGATAAGTTAGGATTGTTATACATACAGCATAGCTCACAAACCACAGAAACAGGGAAATTGAGAACTGTCATCTAATATATATCTGCTCCTCCTTTACAAGCATACATTTTTTCATAAGAATGGCCATACATATTAACATGACTCCATTTTTGGTTTTACATTCATACACATATATCCATATACATATATAAGTATCTATGAAATATTTATAGATAGCTATGCACTAAATTATTTCTGTCATACTTCATAGCTATTTTTAAGTTATTTGTTTTACTAGAACAGAATAAATTGTTTATAAATGTAGTTAAAGGAGAGGAACAGGGGAAAAAATAGCAGTATCTGATCTTTAGTTTACTGCAGTTATGGTAATAATAAAATGTTTGCTTGCAGGAAAGGAGTGGAAGATACAAAAGTTTGTGCGTACTGGTCTGTCAGGATGCTATATTATATTATAATAAATGGCAATGTCGAGAGGAACAGGGGAAAAAATAGCAGTATCTGATCTTTAGTTTACTGCAGTTATGGTAATAATAAAATGTTTGCTTGCAGGAAAGGAGTGGAAGATACAAAAGTTTGTGCGTACTGGTCTGTCAGGATGCTATATTATATTATAATAAATTGGCAATGTCAGAGATAGTATATATACTAATGTCTCAAGGGGTTGTTGG